GACTATCTTACTTGTGGTTGATATCGGGAGTTACTCACAATAATATTGACTGGCATATACAGATATACCTCAGGTTACGTCGTTTCAAGTTAAGTTGTTCTCAATTATACATCATTTGTCAAAAAAAATACAGTGGTACCTCGGTATATGTCTGCTTTAGAATACATCCAATTCGAAATACATCCTGTTTGGACGAAACAAATTTTGCTCGGTATACAACTTAATTCAATTATACGCACCATCTACAAACAAGTAGCACTACCGGTGTATTAGACCAGACTAGATGTTCGCAGTGCCACAGTTTATAACTTTGTTAAATTTCTTTTTATTTTAATTTGTAAGTAAAATGTTATTATTTTTATTAATCATGAATTGCAAAAGGGCAACAGAAAAATAAAAAAATGACTAAAATCACAATGGAACTGAAAAAAGAGATTGTTGAGAAATATGGAGGTGGCATGCGTGTTCGAGATTTAACTGTTGCATACCATATTCCGAGAACGATGATATTGACAATTGTGAAAAATAAAGACATTATTAAATCTGCTAACATTGAGAAAGAGGTTAAATCAATTTCTAAAAATAGATCAAAGACATTAGACCATGTTGAGAAATTGCTTTTGCTTTGGATAACTGAAAAACAGTGTGCTGGCGAGTGTATCAGAAGCAATTATTTGCAAGAAAGCTAAAAAGATACATGCTGATCTCATGAAAAATCAAGCAGGAACTAGCCAGGAAAGCGAGGTGTTTAAAGCTAGCCACTTTTTTTTTACACGAGAATAGATTAATCATTTTTACATTACTTCTTATGGGAAAGGTTGGTTTGATATACGTCCTATTCAGTATAAGACCAAACACCAGGAACGGATTAAGGTCGTATACCGAGGTTCCACTGTATATGGAAAAATAAAAATCAAGTTTAAGCCATTTTATTTGACTTTATGTCTATCTGCCACAAATATTGAAGTTGTAATATCACTAGAAAAGCATTAAAATTAAATACAGGTAACCCCCGTATAACACGGGAGTTACGTTCCAAAAAATTGCCATGTTATGCGAATCCGTGTTATATGAAACAAAGAACTAGTACGAAAAGGAGGGTTAGGTTCCAAAAGTTAAAAAACATGCTATTATATTTTCCTAATTAAGATAAATATCTTTATTAAAATTTTCTTAAGTGATACATATTAATATAAATTAAACAATGTTTTCTTTGTCATCACTAAAAGCACTATTAAGCAAGTGTGTTTTCTTTTTGGCAAGTTATCCTTATCCTCTGAGTATTTTTCTGCATTATCTTCAGATCCATGCTCTACCTTTTGCAAAAAGTATGTAATTTTAGATTGCTTGCTTCTAGTTAAAAGATCATTATAAATTTCCTTATATGGTGCTAAGCACTTATGAAGAATAAAGCAAGTATGGAATAAGTATCTAGCAACATCAGAAGAAAAAGCGTCGAGATCTGGCAACATTGAAACAAGTTTTGAGAAGGACCATGTGTATCGACAGAAGGTAAGAAAAGAAAATTTACATACTTATGTACTAATAGTTCATGAAAATAATAATATTCGTGAACTATTAGTACTTAAGTATGTAAAAATGTATTACATTTCATGTTGTACAAGGGTTTAACCCAATTCTTGAACCGTGTTAGAGTGAATCCGTGCTATAGAAGTGCCATGTTATATAGGGGTTACCTGTATGTACATTTATAGTAAATGTTAATATAATCATCATAAATCCTAAAGAACAAAACATGAAAACATCAGTGACTCCGTGTTTTCGTCTTATTTAATGGTCGTTAAGAGCTCAATATTGGTGTTTTCCACGGTAGCTCCAATATCTACTGTTTGGTGTTGTTGTCAGCACCACTCGATATTGGTAAATTTAATATAAATTAGTTTATTTTCTACTATCGCAAAATAATTTTAATAACTGTATTTGTTATTTAACCTTACAAAATCATTTTCTTTTATAATGTCTTAGAGCAAACCACATTCACAAATAAAGAGTCTGCAATGTACTGTAAACATTGCCAAATTGTAAACATGTATATTTACAAGTATGTACATACATGTATTCATAAATTTAGATTACTTTTTTTCTGTACTATATTAAAAACTAAAATTTATTTGTTTGTAAGCTTAAAATATATTTTTATTAACCATATATTATTAAAAATGCATTTATAAATAAAATACAGAACTGGGAATGGTTATTTGTGGTTTAGCCTAGTGACAAGTAAATTTGACTTAAGTCGCCTCTCCTGGAACAAATTACTGACGTAAGATGAGGTATACCTGTATACAATGGCCCAAGAATCAGTAATTGTGACAGCAGCTGAATTTGGAATCACTTGTAAGGAAAAATGCATTATGTTAGAATAAGGTTCCGAACTCTGTAGTTAGAACAAGGATCCTGAATTCTTGTTCTAACTACAGAGTTCCAGTTCTGAACCAGTCACATGCATTATGTTGAAATTTGTGTATTGTACAAGAGGCTTTCATTCTGAAAAACTTTTAAACTTGTAATGAAATACTATATTTGAATAAGACAATAATTTAGTCTTGACAATAGTTAATTTGGACTTTTTATCCCTTTAAAAACAAAGAATGAAATCCTGATGAAGAATCCTTATTAATATGGAAAGTTAAATCAAAAATGCTCATCTTTCAATTTCTAAATATTTCATTTGTACAAAGATTTCATCAATATTTTCTTCAATGGAACTAAATATAATTCTTTTCACATTCTTATAAAGAAAAAAATCAATAATATAATATAGCATATCACTTCAATTATTCCAATTTTAAGAAATAGTTTTTGTTTCCTAGATTCTAGTTTCTAAGAAAATGTAGGAATGATGAAGTATCTTTGATTTTTAAAATAAATTCTTGTAAAAATTCAAACAGTGAATACACCTACAGAAAGAATAAAAAAGAATGTAAAAACAGTATTTGAAATTTTTGCTAAATCAATGCTAATATTTGATATATAAAATTTGATAGTATCAATATTTTATGTCTTATAATGTAAAGATAATATATTGATATGCTTTAAAATAGGAATATGAAACCCACAGATGGTATACCTATGTTAAAGAATGATAAGGAATCAAAATTTGAGAGGATACATTTGATTGACATCTAAGTTTAGAGACTGCAAATACAAAAAAGTTAGTTTTGCTTCAAATAAATGTATCTACAATGAATTTTCTTCACACTGAAAATTTGCTTGACAAGTGATTTCTATGCAACTTCATTTCAATACTTTTTGTGTTTAAATTTTCTCTTCATTTACTCATTGTAATTACTTTTCTACTGGTTTAACTATTGCTTAAATTTTCAGAACAGCCATTTTACAATAGTGAATGTCAAATTTATGACTGAAATAATGTTAAGATAGACATTACTCCAGTTAAATTAATTTCAACAAATTTATCCTTTTATTCTCTACAAGTATAAACATGATTACATTAGAAAATCAGAATAGCATTTTTTTATAGATTAGCTACTTCTCTTACATGCATTTTACCCATCTTCAAATGCAACAAAGATTTTTAACACAATTCTCTTCAAACAATGAAAATTTAATTGTATTAAAAAGACATACTGTGTATAATCCATGGCATGTAATGTGCAAATTTGTATGTGGTCCATAGATAATATGTGCTTTAGTGAATGTATTACTATTATTATTTTTTTTAATATATCCTGTATACAAATTGGTTATGTTTGTTCAATTAGTGCATATTCCTATTCCTCTATTTGGTTATGCAGATGGCAAATGTGGAAAGTAATTCAACTTTTGTAATTTCACTACAATAATGGGTATTATAAGATGTTTCAAGCCTTGCTGACAAATTTACAAATCACTTAACACATTAAAAGTATTTTTAAATGGAAATCCTAAAAACAAAATTTTGAGAAAATAACTATGACAACTATAACAATTTGCTAAGTCAAAAGAAGAATGATTAATAATTTAACTAAATCACAACTTCAACAAAATAACTTTTACCAAATTTAAAATAATACCAAGATTTTTCAAAAGCAAATTACATTAAAAAAATACTTATAATCTTTACATGAATAAGATTAAGTTAAAAAAACTGTGTTAAAATACATTCCTCTTCTGTGATTTAATCCATCTTATATGAACTGTAGGATTTAAATAAATTTAAAAATTAGATACTTATAACTTACAAAAACAAAAACAAAAAAAAAAATTGAACAAAATCAATTCTTTAACAAAGAATTCATAATGCCAATCTTTACCAATTATGGACTGTTAACTTGTTACTTAAGTAACATATTTTTAAAATAATCTGATTTTGATTTGATAAACATTTTCTGAATTTCCTAAGTTAAAAGATGTTTTGATTAAGTGGAAATGATTATATTTTATGCAATTAAAGAGGAATGTTTTTCATGCACACTTACAATAGTAATAACAGCTATGCAACATATCAAAAAATAATAATAATAAAGAATTAAGTTACTAATTACATGATTTTGATCAATTTCACACTTAATTAGACCCATTTAATGTAATTAAAATCATAAACTTTTGTACCTAAACTATAAATATTGTGACGAATTATTATACATAGCTGCCCGAATAAATTCATATATATTCTACTGATTTAGAAATGGTAGTACGTTTAAAAGATGAATGGATAATCTTTCGGACAATAAAATTCAGGTATAAAAGGATAAATGATCACCTTATTTAGTGAAATTCTTTGACCTTTGGTTCAAAATGTTTTATGTAGATTTTTAAGATGATAAGTATTTTTCAAGTTATGGTATTTAGAGTGCTTATATAAACAGCACTTGGAGACAACACCTAAACTAAAGACACTACACAACACATTGGCTGACATTTGCAAATATTCTGTCAGTTAATACAGTTGAAATGCCACTATTATAATATATCACAGCTGAAGCTGAACAAAGGCAGTCATTATTTTAGAAGATCACTTTTTGGCATTAGATATCAGCAGCATTTTAAATGCCTTACTTACACCCTGTTTCATCCATTAACAAGCTGTTTTTTTTATTATTTTTTCCTAGACAACTGTTTCATTCTTTAAATTCATACGAAAATTGTATTCCTTTGAAAGTCTGAAAGTTATCACAATTTAATTTCTGTGTTACCTCACAAGCTCATCAGTTTCTCTGCAGTTGCCAATTAAAGACAAAATATCTATTGATTTCCAGGTCCCTGCATCTGAAGGGAACAAGAAGCAGAGAGTATTGCTGGAGTGTGAGAACTTGTAGATGCAATTGATCCTTGAAATTCCATACCACCGTTATTGCTTGAACTAGTAGAATCATTTGAAATATTCATTGATGTGCTAGGTAAAGTAGATGGTGATCCAACTGTTGTAGCAGCTTTTTCTCTCTTCTCTGCTGCTGCTCTACTCAAAACATATTGTGCTGCAAATTGGTGCTTTGGCTCCATTCTCATATTTTCCATGTGATGAAGTAAACCTAGAAGATAGTAGATTGAATGAATATAAATTAAATTTAATTAATTAATTGTTTGTTGATAAATATAAATCTTTATCACATGTAATAAAATAAACAATATCATTTTAATCATTTGATTTAACAAAAAATAAAGTGCAAATAAAACAAAATTTATTAAGTTACTATTTATTTGTAATCACTACCTTGTTTTACAATGTTAATTATTAGAAAATGGCATTTTCCTTTTAATACTTTACATAAATGAATGAATGAATGGAGAGAGATCTGAACAGTTATTTGAGAAATTCCTGGTGTTCTTTGCAAGTCCAGATTCAATCCTGAGTCCCCAGAGTGGTAGACTGGTATCTTTATTATCTCAGCTAGCTTGACTGCTATTAATTTTTTTTTAAATTTAATTTCAGTGTGAGTTGTATAAATATACTTCAACCTGTGGATATGAAGCTACTGAAATTTGTTTGATTCATAAATAATAATAAGTGGAATCAGCTTGAATCAGATATAATGCTGTTTCTGAAAACAGCTTAATATCTTTTCATAAATCATCAGGTATAAAATATATTAAAAAAATCTTTTAAGAATTTGGTTTATTTAATAGTTCAATGAAAAGAGATTTTAACAAACATATAAATATTCACTTATCATAAATCTTTTCATTTTGTAAAGATATAATATTTGCTTTTCTGTATGATATCATTTTGATTTATTCATAATAATTATAATAGAAGAACTTCCATAATTAACTTAAAGCAAATTCAAAGATAAACTACCTGCTTCTTGAGAAAATACACTCTGGCACACTGAACATGGCCACATTCGAACTGGTGGACTGGAAGAAGCAGATTCAGGATGACTCGCAATATGTTTGTGAAGAGAGCCTTCGTTGACATAAGTCTTCCCACAGACAGGACAAGGATGACTTGTTGTGCGCCTTTTATCTATAATTAATTTTTGTGAAAAGAATTAAAAACTTTATCTAATTTTTAAACTACAAGTATAATATAAATTAATCCCAATACAATATGCAAAAAACATATTTCTTACAACTGTTCTTTTATTTATCAAATATGAACATGAGTTCAACTGTCTAGCTGATATTTCATATTTCATACTATTTTCTAATAAATATATTTTTTGCATTTCTTAAAACTTTATCTATTCTTTATTAATAAAAAGCAATAAATTAATTAATATAGTTAATTGTTATAAACTCAAAAGGGTTAAGGAACCAGGATATTAATTAAATATTCTGACTACCTTTAACTCTTTTGAGTTTCTTCCTAACATTTATTCCCATGGAGTTGTTTTTCCAGTTTTGAATATAATTAATTTTATCAAAGATGTCAATTAACTGAGTGAACTTTAGATATTGCTCCTTAACAAATTTGATTGGATTGTACAGATTAAATGATTTTTCATACATTTACATTTTTTGAAGTGTTTTGATTAAGATCTTACAAATAAAGATTAAATTTGATAAGATTAAATTGAAAAGATGTATTTAAATGAACTTTGTATATACAGTAGAGCATTGATTATCCAAATACCAATCATCCAAAACATCGGTTAACTGAAAGTGTTCCAGTCAGCAAATTCAAATTTCTGCTAGTGCTGTGGCATTGTGGTACTCTCTCCCTCCCTGCCAACCTAAACTGTACGCCTACTTTAATGTACTACATTATGTAAGGTATGTATTTGTAAGATGTGTGATACAAATAATATACAGTACAGTTTTGTGTTTAATATGGTTTTTCGTAAATGATCAGTTATTTGAACAACCCCAGTCCCGAATTATTTCGGATAATCGATGCTCTACTGTAATATCATCTATAGTCAGAAACTTTTATTTCTACAGAAATCTAAAATTAATTCATACAGACAACAATTAAAAAGTTTCAAAGGAATAAGAATAATGCATGTACAGTACAGTACATATATATCTCATGAAAAATAATGGAAACTTTTCCATGAACTGATATAGGTACACAGATTACCACTTTGTGTAGCACCCATATAAATTAAGATTTTAGATATTACTTTATTGCTAAACATTGGATAAATTAATAATTCATAAAAAAAGTGTGTGTAGAAAATTAACAATATATGCCTATTGTTAATAGATATGATGTATTTAAATTTCATAGTGTGTTTATATTTGGCATTTTACAATAATAATAGAGGGCCAGCATTATACTTAATTTAACATTTTAATGACAGTTTTATTTAATTACAGTACCATAGATTTCTAGTTTCATGACTAATAAATCCTGGAAAACATTGCCAGGTTCTTGTAAATCCAATTTTAATTTTCTCTAGGTTTGGTGTATTAAAATCAAGGTGTATTCTCAGAAATAAACTTTGAAATGTACTGTACAATACAACACCAAAGTGGTCAGTAATTGGACTGTAGTTTCCAACTTGAAGACCTATACATTCCCACTGTCACCTGTTTGTCCATCCATCCATCCTTTGTTAATCTCAAGAATATCTTCATCATCCATCCTAACTGAGACCAGATATGGAAAGCTTACAGGGCCAGATGCCCCAATTAACTATATATGAATTTCTCGTCACATAATTTACATTCAAAATTTTTGCCTTACTATATAGAGTGATAAATTTTGTATAGAATTGATCCTTAGAATAAAGTGAGATCAATAATATATCCCCTGACTCTGTATGATGTACAATATTCATGTGATCTCAAATTTTAAAAATTTAAATAATTTATACTTTGATTCATTCTGAAAGTAGATTTGTTTTAATTAAAATATGATTAAAAATTGCAGCCTAGCATTCTGATGATGTCACAATAACTAATTTTGATTTTTTACATTCTATTTAAATTTAATATTTTGTAAAATTATAATATAATTAGAAATTTATACTGATTGTAATAATAGGATATTGCAAAGCAAGCTTATGTACAGCAAAAGTCTTCTATATTTAAAATTGTTTATGACTTCTGTCTGTATGCTACATTTCTAAAATTTACAATAATAAATATTAGTTAAAAAATCAGAAATGCTGCAATTATTTTTGTATATTGGGATTCAAATATGCAAAAATAATTCAATATTTATCATTATTACTACAGAATCAAATATTCTAATATAACATAAAATTAAAATATGCAGAATATAAAAATATTTAACTTGGTAATTATTTTTATAAGCAAATTATAAAAATTTTATTATATAAAATTATATAAATAATCAATCAAAACAAAATTTTTTTTGATTGATTCAATTTTCTTACATGAGAAATGTGTATAGCAAACAAGTTGGTATAGTAGACATGATTAAGTTATAATTAAGAATCAAAAAGCAATCTTTCTTTGATGTGTAGAATTCAAATACTACTCAAGTGCTCAGCTTTATCTTAAAAATTTATTGGACAACTGATGGTGTCATAGAAGAACTCATGTGCATGTGTCTGTTTTTAGGGATCTCATAAGGCCATGCACAATATTGGAGGTTACATAAATAAAGAAAAAAACGTATATACAAATATTTTAATATTTTCAAACAGAAAGAAAAATTTCATAATGGTTGAAATTTTTATATTCTGCAGTAAAAATTATTTATAAATGTAAATAATTTATAAATTTTAATGTTTTTCTTTATAAAATTTCAATTTCATTAATATACCTTAGTTCTCTGTTGAAATGAAACATTTCATCATCATTCCATATTTATATAATCCATAAGACATTGCTAATCATTTTTAAGGAGTCAATTTATGATAAAGCATTTTTCAAGACTATCGTATCTCATTGTCAGATCCAAACTTAATAATGACTGACGATGTTAAATTTGGATCTAACAATGAGATATGACTGTCTCAAAAGAAGTCAGCCAATATGTTAAGTTATAAACAGAATCCTTAAAAATTACTAGCATTGTGTCTTCTGGATGATTAATATACTTTGTGATTATAACACTTAAATATTTTTACTGCACACACATTATATTATAGTTATGTTATATATTTTCCTGCTATTTGAATGCATATATCAATTAATATTTTTATGAAATAAATTATTACTTTTGTGAAAATTTCCAGACAAAATTTATATATGGGATTTGTAAATATAAAAACAATAGAGAATGTAAATGAATCATCATTTAATTTATTATTAATTAGATATAACCATGTTTAGTTATAGTATATCAGTGGAAGCATTTTTTTTAAACCTGTAGATAACTTTGAATGCACAGAAACAAAGCATCTCACATACATTATTTATCAGAGAGGGAAATGAAACACAATACTTTTATTAGCCATACTTAGTGCTGCTGTCATCTAGTAAGAACAAGAAAGAATCTAATGGTAAATGAGTGGTATATTAACTACACTCAAATTAGTGATTGTAAAGAAAAATATTTTTAATGTAATTTCCTCTTCTATATTTAAACTTTAAACAGTAGTTTTCAAGTTTTACAATAAGAATAACAATTTCTAAAATAAATAAAAACATAGAAAATAATCAGTAACATATCTAGATACAATGTAAAGGAGAGCCTTAGTTAAATCACAATACAGTTTAATAAATTTTCACTTTTAATACTTATATAATGAATTATAACATTATATATATATATATAAATTACTAAATCAGTAGTTAACTCCATAACTATATTTCCTAAATTTAGCATTTTATTAATTTTTTTTCATTACAAAGGTGACCTGGACCTTTGTTATTCTAGTGAATATAACAAAGTTACATTGTTACTGAATAAGGAAGCATAAATACTACTTCAACAAATGATATTCCTGATAAAACTAACAAATAAAATTATATTATTAAAGCAAATATTCATGAATATACTACAATCTATGTTTTTCTTCTATTTTATTTTTCATATATGAAGAATAAATTCTTCTCTGATTATTTTAAGTCTACAGATTATAGTTAGCCACCACTGATTTATATACATTATAAAATTTAGAACTTAAAAAAATTTTGTCTGAAAAATGTATTTTTTTTTTCCTTTGCAATTATAATATAATTTCTTTATTTCATATGTACAGAACATATAAATAATAATTAAATGCAAATATTTGAGGCATGTACTTCTGGAAAGTATAGATACTTGTACAATTTACTATTACATTACTCATTATGAATTACAAAAAAAAAAGTGGTTATTATAAGTGATTTCAAATTAAAATATGGGTGATAGTTATTTTGCTTGTTTTAATTATCTGTTAAAAACTTGAATATTTGATGAAAGTATAAAGAAGTCTAACAGATATTTTTATATACTTAGCTGTAAATAATAAACACAATTATAAAAATACCATACTTGAGTTAATTTGTCTCATTTACTATTTATACACTCATAACACCAATCCAATAGTGCTAACATAAAATACATTTTCTAAACTAATTATGAAAAATATAAATACCAAATGATAAAATGTTTTGATTTGTATCAAAGAGATTCAGTATTACCATTCAGGATGGATTGTTTATTATTATTTTATATTATAACTATTACTTGTAATTTGAATATACTAATGGTTATATAAGATCTACTTTCCACTTTCCAAACAATGGTTGTTTAACTAATTTTTCATATCATTGATTACATTTCATAGTATTTTTGAAGAATGCATTGCTTGTCATTGCCCAAATGTAGTGTGATAAATCTGGAATTTAAATATTTGCTTTAACTTAATTTTATTTCTGCTAATATGCATCTTTAAGTCAACGACAAAAATTTAATATGTTTATTATTATAAGCAAAAAACGATTTCTTTGGTCAATTTGCAGTTTTTTTAATCGTGTTTAAAAAATTCAAAATGAATAATTTAAGTTTTAAACTTTGTGTGCATGTGTGTGTAAATGTATATATTGAACAACTGCATAATTTCGCCATAGTTTTTAGAATTGTGCACTAAAAATCTAAACTGCACATTAACTGAGCAGATATTAACATTTTGTAATCATAAATCATAATAAACACTAGTTTTCTCTTTATCAATGTTCCTTCTAAGCTGCATGGCCATCATTCACCCAAGCACTTAACTCAATCTGAATAACAAGTAAATTGTTTTGAGTAACCCAACTGCTGTTTTGAAGACAGAATGACTTGCATTTCTACTTCTTGGTCCAGACTCATATTTTTTATTTCGATTTTAGTTTTAAAATTAAATAAGCATATTTTAAATTTTATTTTATGAAAGTTTTAAAGGAAATGCTTGAAATGTATATAATCAAACTGGTGTTTCTCTCTCAAGAAATATTTGAATAAACCTGCATGAAAGAAATGATGAGTGCAAACAATTAATGGTAATCAATTTGAATATTTAATAAATAATAATAATAATAGTAATAATAATAAAAACCTACTATTTTTTACTTTACTACAGATATAGCCTTAAAGCACTATATATTTTTTGTATTTACAGTATCTATGTCATCATATAACTTTTATATTATATTAAATGTTTTCAGTCAAAAATGTTTTTATGTATTCCAGATCAACAAATACCATTTAAGTAAATGACAAGTCACACTATCTGAACAAAAATCATTTATCCTGATATACAATGTATCTTGAGTTAGAGCAAACCAAAAAATGTTTAGTTCATTGTACAATGCAGGAGTTTTCAACCTATGACCCATGGCTAAATAAAAAAGCATAAAGACATTCTGAATAAAAGCATATTTATCTGACCTATATAGCTTGTTTTCACTAAAATAACTTATTTTATCAACAACATTTGAACTAGGTCCAAAGGATATAAACTTTTAAAAAGTAAACTAGCATTAATAGACCTTCTGAAAATGATTTTTTATAAAAACCTATTTAAAGAAGGAAGTTTGTTAAATTTTTAAAATCCCTGTCAGAAGAGAATTTTACAAGTCTTAAGAAGTTTGAATGGGTGATACTTTCTATATTTACTTCTATGCACCTTTGCAAACAAATTTTTTTGAAAATGAAATATATAAAATCAAAATATCAAACATTGCTGTTTAACAAACATCTAAAGATTTTAATATTGAGTTCCACAAAATTTTGATGGCATTTTTCAAAAAAGCACTTGCAAATTTTATATTGATTTAATGTCTATGTTATTCAGAAATAAACAAATATTAATCTTAGTTTTTGACTATATTTTTTGTACCTGGCCTCCAGACTTGTCTTTTACAGCATACATGGTCTTCTCAGAAAAGTTGAAAACACTTGAATGTATATTATACAGTGATAATCAACTCTAGTACAGGCAATCTGTGACTTTTAAGCAACTTGATATTTTGTACATAGTATTTTGATAACTCTTAATTGCTTTTTGTGTGCATTCAAACTTTCATATATTTTCAGCCACAGACAAAACTTCCAAGCTATTGTCCAATGGCATATTCTATCACTTTTAATTCTCAGTAATATCAAAATCATTTTTGAAAATAAATTTTTATCATCTGTTTCCTGATTAATTTACAGCTTTAACATTTCAGTAACATTTTACGAGCTATATGCATAAATTACATAATGCAGATATGGATGGTGGATATGCAGGTAATCATTTTGATGCATATTACAAGAGGCTGAGGGTGTTTACAAAAACATTACATAATGCTAGGGTCTCAACCTTTGGGCGACAGAATAATAATTTTTTTTTCTGAAATGTTGCATAGTTATGTCACTGTTCAATATGCTATATATGTAATAAAATAATGTAACAGTATCCCCACATTATGTATTATTCCTTAGTATAATTAAGGAGGTTGATTCAGGAATGCATTACATAATTTTGGAAGTGGGTATATGCAACATTACAGTGTGTTGTAGGAAGATGGAATAATGGTTAAAGAGTATAAAAATAGCATTACGATTTATGGATGATCTCTTATGTATTGTATATAGTCACTACTAAAACTATCTTAGAGATTTTATAATTTTTCTTTTTAATTCCCTGAATACCAAAACTCCCTTTAAAACATGAAAACTATTGTTTGACTTTTGTGCACATTTTTAAGAACATTATGTCCAAAGGTCAGGACTGCTTGTATTATTTAATATAATAATGAAAATTATATGTGACTTATAACATTGTATTAGATGTTGATTCTTAGATCTTATTAATGAAATAACGCTTCCGAATTTATACAGTAACTTATATCAGAAACTTCACTAATAGAATATAGCTTCTAAATCCTCGCAGGATTGTCTAGACTTACTTGAATATTGTCTTCAATTTAATAATAAACCAGCAATTCGCAGTAAATTCCCTTTTACTCTTTCCAATAAATGATGATTTTTCAAAGATATTAACGGACTACAAATTTTCATTCGTTTTTCAATGTTACAAATAGAATTAAATTATGTTTTTGTTCAAAACAAAATTTTAAAGTCTTTTTAAAACAATTATTAGCGATTATTTATTCATAAATATTATAGCATTTAGAATTAGAAGTGTAATAGTTTTTATATAAATATAATATAATTTCAAATATTTTTAATGAATTTATGTCTAATGCTTAATCTCATTTTTATTGTTATACAGAACTTTAGATTTGTTTTATCACTTTTATTATATTTTCTTTTGTAATTTTCTTATTTCTTTATAATCTTTCAATGCGTTTATTTTTAATATTCAGTACTTAAAAAACGTTCATTAATGGCCAAGTGATTTCATCCTCTTGATCATTGTATCAATAGTTCATTGTAACACTGGTAGTAGTTCATGTTGGTTCAAACCTAACCAACGGGCTGACAAACGTGATTTTCTTCGGGTGTCTAACTCAGGTGTTCTGTAAATGTTACAAAAATAAATGAATGAATATTTATTATATAAAATAAATTATTTTAGTTAAATACTTCATTAAAAATTAACCGTAACTACCAANTCTTCAATGGAACTAAATATAATTCTTTTCACATTCTTATAAAGAAAAAAATCAATAATATAATATAGCATATCACTTCAATTATTCCAATTTTAAGAAATAGTTTTTGTTTCCTAGATTCTAGTTTCTAAGAAAATGTAGGAATGATGAAGTATCTTTGATTTTTAAAATAAATTCTTGTAAAAATTCAAACAGTGAATACACCTACAGAAAGAATAAAAAAGAATGTAAAAACAGTATTTGAAATTTTTGCTAAATCAATGCTAATATTTGATATATAAAATTTGATAGTATCAATATTTTATGTCTTATAATGTAAAGATAATATATTGATATGCTTTAAAATAGGAATATGAAACCCACAGATGGTATACCTATGTTAAAGAATGATAAGGAATCAAAATTTGAGAGGATACATTTGATTGACATCTAAGTTTAGAGACTGCAAATACAAAAAAGTTAGTTTTGCTTCAAATAAATGTATCTACAATGAATTTTCTTCACACTGAAAATTTGCTTGACAAGTGATTTCTATGCAACTTCATTTCAATACTTTTTGTGTTTAAATTTTCTCTTCATTTACTCATTGTAATTACTTTTCTACTGGTTTAACTATTGCTTAAATTTTCAGAACAGCCATTTTACAATAGTGAATGTCAAATTTATGACTGAAATAATGTTAAGATAGACATTACTCCAGTTAAATTAATTTCAACAAATTTATCCTTTTATTCTCTACAAGTATAAACATGATTACATTAGAAAATCAGAATAGCATTTTTTTATAGATTAGCTACTTCTCTTACATGCATTTTACCCATCTTCAAATGCAACAAAGATTTTTAACACAATTCTCTTCAAACAATGAAAATTTAATTGTATTAAAAAGACATACTGTGTATAATCCATGGCATGTAATGTGCAAATTTGTATGTGGTCCATAGATAATATGTGCTTTAGTGAATGTATTACTATTATTATTTTTTTTAATATATCCTGTATACAAATTGGTTATGTTTGTTCAATTAGTGCATATTCCTATTCCTCTATTTGGTTATGCAGATGGCAAATGTGGAAAGTAATTCAACTTTTGTAATTTCACTACAATAATGGGTATTATAAGATGTTTCAAGCCTTGCTGACAAATTTACAAATCACTTAACACATTAAAAGTATTTTTAAATGGAAATCCTAAAAACAAAATTTTGAGAAAATAACTATGACAACTATAACAATTTGCTAAGTCAAAAGAAGAATGATTAATAATTTAACTAAATCACAACTTCAACAAAATAACTTTTACCAAATTTAAAATAATACCAAGATTTTTCAAAAGCAAATTACATTAAAAAAATACTTATAATCTTTACATGAATAAGATTAAGTTAAAAAAACTGTGTTAAAATACATTCCTCTTCTGTGATTTAATCCATCTTATATGAACTGTAGGATTTAAATAAATTTAAAAATTAGATACTTATAACTTACAAAAACAAAAACAAAAAAAAAAATTGAACAAAATCAATTCTTTAACAAAGAATTCATAATGCCAATCTTTACCAATTATGGACTGTTAACTTGTTACTTAAGTAACATATTTTTAAAATAATCTGATTTTGATTTGATAAACATTTTCTGAATTTCCTAAGTTAAAAGATGTTTTGATTAAGTGGAAATGATTATATTTTATGCAATTAAAGAGGAATGTTTTTCATGCACACTTACAATAGTAATAACAGCTATGCAACATATCAAAAAATAATAATAATAAAGAATTAAGTTACTAATTACATGATTTTGATCAATTTCACACTTAATTAGACCCATTTAATGTAATTAAAATCATAAACTTTTGTACCTAAACTATAAATATTGTGACGAATTATTATACATAGCTGCCCGAATAAATTCATATATATTCTACTGATTTAGAAATGGTAGTACGTTTAAAAGATGAATGGATAATCTTTCGGACAATAAAATTCAGGTATAAAAGGATAAATGATCACCTTATTTAGTGAAATTCTTTGACCTTTGGTTCAAAATGTTTTATGTAGATTTTTAAGATGATAAGTATTTTTCAAGTTATGGTATTTAGAGTGCTTATATAAACAGCACTTGGAGACAACACCTAAACTAAAGACACTACACAACACATTGGCTGACATTTGCAAATATTCTGTCAGTTAATACAGTTGAAATGCCACTATTATAATATATCACAGCTGAAGCTGAACAAAGGCAGTCATTATTTTAGAAGATCACTTTTTGGCATTAGATATCAGCAGCATTTTAAATGCCTTACTTACACCCTGTTTCATCCATTAACAAGCTGTTTTTTTTATTATTTTTTCCTAGACAACTGTTTCATTCTTTAAATTCATACGAAAATTGTATTCCTTTGAAAGTCTGAAAGTTATCACAATTTAATTTCTGTGTTACCTCACAAGCTCATCAGTTTCTCTGCAGTTGCCAATTAAAGACAAAATATCTATTGATTTCCAGGTCCCTGCATCTGAAGGGAACAAGAAGCAGAGAGTATTGCTGGAGTGTGAGAACTTGTAGATGCAATTGATCCTTGAAATTCCATACCACCGTTATTGCTTGAACTAGTAGAATCATTTGAAATATTCATTGATGTGCTAGGTAAAGTAGATGGTGATCCAACTGTTGTAGCAGCTTTTTCTCTCTTCTCTGCTGCTGCTCTACTCAAAACATATTGTGCTGCAAATTGGTGCTTTGGCTCCATTCTCATATTTTCCATGTGATGAAGTAAACCTAGAAGATAGTAGATTGAATGAATATAAATTAAATTTAATTAATTAATTGTTTGTTGATAAATATAAATCTTTATCACATGTAATAAAATAAACAATATCATTTTAATCATTTGATTTAACAAAAAATAAAGTGCAAATAAAACAAAATTTATTAAGTTACTATTTATTTGTAATCACTACCTTGTTTTACAATGTTAATTATTAGAAAATGGCATTTTCCTTTTAATACTTTACATAAATGAATGAATGAATGGAGAGAGATCTGAACAGTTATTTGAGAAATTCCTGGTGTTCTTTGCAAGTCCAGATTCAATCCTGAGTCCCCAGAGTGGTAGACTGGTATCTTTATTATCTCAGCTAGCTTGACTGCTATTAATTTTTTTTTAAATTTAATTTCAGTGTGAGTTGTATAAATATACTTCAACCTGTGGATATGAAGCTACTGAAATTTGTTTGATTCATAAATAATAATAAGTGGAATCAGCTTGAATCAGATATAATGCTGTTTCTGAAAACAGCTTAATATCTTTTCATAAATCATCAGGTATAAAATATATTAAAAAAATCTTTTAAGAATTTGGTTTATTTAATAGTTCAATGAAAAGAGATTTTAACAAACATATAAATATTCACTTATCATAAATCTTTTCATTTTGTAAAGATATAATATTTGCTTTTCTGTATGATATCATTTTGATTTATTCATAATAATTATAATAGAAGAACTTCCATAATTAACTTAAAGCAAATTCAAAGATAAACTACCTGCTTCTTGAGAAAATACACTCTGGCACACTGAACATGGCCACATTCGAACTGGTGGACTGGAAGAAGCAGATTCAGGATGACTCGCAATATGTTTGTGAAGAGAGCCTTCGTTGACATAAGTCTTCCCACAGACAGGACAAGGATGACTTGTTGTGCGCCTTTTATCTATAATTAATTTTTGTGAAAAGAATTAAAAACTTTATCTAATTTTTAAACTACAAGTATAATATAAATTAATCCCAATACAATATGCAAAAAACATATTTCTTACAACTGTTCTTTTATTTATCAAATATGAACATGAGTTCAACTGTCTAGCTGATATTTCATATTTCATACTATTTTCTAATAAATATATTTTTTGCATTTCTTAAAACTTTATCTATTCTTTATTAATAAAAAGCAATAAATTAATTAATATAGTTAATTGTTATAAACTCAAAAGGGTTAAGGAACCAGGATATTAATTAAATATTCTGACTACCTTTAACTCTTTTGAGTTTCTTCCTAACATTTATTCCCATGGAGTTGTTTTTCCAGTTTTGAATATAATTAATTTTATCAAAGATGTCAATTAACTGAGTGAACTTTAGATATTGCTCCTTAACAAATTTGATTGGATTGTACAGATTAAATGATTTTTCATACATTTACATTTTTTGAAGTGTTTTGATTAAGATCTTACAAATAAAGATTAAATTTGATAAGATTAAATTGAAAAGATGTATTTAAATGAACTTTGTATATACAGTAGAGCATTGATTATCCAAATACCAATCATCCAAAACATCGGTTAACTGAAAGTGTTCCAGTCAGCAAATTCAAATTTCTGCTAGTGCTGTGGCATTGTGGTACTCTCTCCCTCCCTGCCAACCTAAACTGTACGCCTACTTTAATGTACTACATTATGTAAGGTATGTATTTGTAAGATGTGTGATACAAATAATATACAGTACAGTTTTGTGTTTAATATGGTTTTTCGTAAATGATCAGTTATTTGAACAACCCCAGTCCCGAATTATTTCGGATAATCGATGCTCTACTGTAATATCATCTATAGTCAGAAACTTTTATTTCTACAGAAATCTAAAATTAATTCATACAGACAACAATTAAAAAGTTTCAAAGGAATAAGAATAATGCATGTACAGTACAGTACATATATATCTCATGAAAAATAATGGAAACTTTTCCATGAACTGATATAGGTACACAGATTACCACTTTGTGTAGCACCCATATAAATTAAGATTTTAGATATTACTTTATTGCTAAACATTGGATAAATTAATAATTCATAAAAAAAGTGTGTGTAGAAAATTAACAATATATGCCTATTGTTAATAGATATGATGTATTTAAATTTCATAGTGTGTTTATATTTGGCATTTTACAATAATAATAGAGGGCCAGCATTATACTTAATTTAACATTTTAATGACAGTTTTATTTAATTACAGTACCATAGATTTCTAGTTTCATGACTAATAAATCCTGGAAAACATTGCCAGGTTCTTGTAAATCCAATTTTAATTTTCTCTAGGTTTGGTGTATTAAAATCAAGGTGTATTCTCAGAAATAAACTTTGAAATGTACTGTACAATACAACACCAAAGTGGTCAGTAATTGGACTGTAGTTTCCAACTTGAAGACCTATACATTCCCACTGTCACCTGTTTGTCCATCCATCCATCCTTTGTTAATCTCAAGAATATCTTCATCATCCATCCTAACTGAGACCAGATATGGAAAGCTTACAGGGCCAGATGCCCCAATTAACTATATATGAATTTCTCGTCACATAATTTACATTCAAAATTTTTGCCTTACTATATAGAGTGATAAATTTTGTATAGAATTGATCCTTAGAATAAAGTGAGATCAATAATATATCCCCTGACTCTGTATGATGTACAATATTCATGTGATCTCAAATTTTAAAAATTTAAATAATTTATACTTTGATTCATTCTGAAAGTAGATTTGTTTTAATTAAAATATGATTAAAAATTGCAGCCTAGCATTCTGATGATGTCACAATAACTAATTTTGATTTTTTACATTCTATTTAAATTTAATATTTTGTAAAATTATAATATAATTAGAAATTTATACTGATTGTAATAATAGGATATTGCAAAGCAAGCTTATGTACAGCAAAAGTCTTCTATATTTAAAATTGTTTATGACTTCTGTCTGTATGCTACATTTCTAAAATTTACAATAATAAATATTAGTTAAAAAATCAGAAATGCTGCAATTATTTTTGTATATTGGGATTCAAATATGCAAAAATAATTCAATATTTATCATTATTACTACAGAATCAAATATTCTAATATAACATAAAATTAAAATATGCAGAATATAAAAATATTTAACTTGGTAATTATTTTTATAAGCAAATTATAAAAATTTTATTATATAAAATTATATAAATAATCAATCAAAACAAAATTTTTTTTGATTGATTCAATTTTCTTACATGAGAAATGTGTATAGCAAACAAGTTGGTATAGTAGACATGATTAAGTTATAATTAAGAATCAAAAAGCAATCTTTCTTTGATGTGTAGAATTCAAATACTACTCAAGTGCTCAGCTTTATCTTAAAAATTTATTGGACAACTGATGGTGTCATAGAAGAACTCATGTGCATGTGTCTGTTTTTAGGGATCTCATAAGGCCATGCACAATATTGGAGGTTACATAAATAAAGAAAAAAACGTATATACAAATATTTTAATATTTTCAAACAGAAAGAAAAATTTCATAATGGTTGAAATTTTTATATTCTGCAGTAAAAATTATTTATAAATGTAAATAATTTATAAATTTTAATGTTTTTCTTTATAAAATTTCAATTTCATTAATATACCTTAGTTCTCTGTTGAAATGAAACATTTCATCATCATTCCATATTTATATAATCCATAAGACATTGCTAATCATTTTTAAGGAGTCAATTTATGATAAAGCATTTTTCAAGACTATCGTATCTCATTGTCAGATCCAAACTTAATAATGACTGACGATGTTAAATTTGGATCTAACAATGAGATATGACTGTCTCAAAAGAAGTCAGCCAATATGTTAAGTTATAAACAGAATCCTTAAAAATTACTAGCATTGTGTCTTCTGGATGATTAATATACTTTGTGATTATAACACTTAAATATTTTTACTGCACACACATTATATTATAGTTATGTTATATATTTTCCTGCTATTTGAATGCATATATCAATTAATATTTTTATGAAATAAATTATTACTTTTGTGAAAATTTCCAGACAAAATTTATATATGGGATTTGTAAATATAAAAACAATAGAGAATGTAAATGAATCATCATTTAATTTATTATTAATTAGATATAACCATGTTTAGTTATAGTATATCAGTGGAAGCATTTTTTTTAAACCTGTAGATAACTTTGAATGCACAGAAACAAAGCATCTCACATACATTATTTATCAGAGAGGGAAATGAAACACAATACTTTTATTAGCCATACTTAGTGCTGCTGTCATCTAGTAAGAACAAGAAAGAATCTAATGGTAAATGAGTGGTATATTAACTACACTCAAATTAGTGATTGTAAAGAAAAATATTTTTAATGTAGTTTCCTCTTCTATATTTAAACTTTAAACAGTAGTTTTCAAGTTTTACAATAAGAATAACAATTTCTAAAATAAATAAAAACATAGAAAATAATCAGTAACATATCTAGATACAATGTAAAGGAGAGCCTTAGTTAAATCACAATACAGTTTAATAAATTTTCACTTTTAATACTTATATAATGAATTATAACATTATATATATATATATAAATTACTAAATCAGTAGTTAACTCCATAACTATATTTCCTAAATTTAGCATTTTATTAATTTTTTTTCATTACAAAGGTGACCTGGACCTTTGTTATTCTAGTGAATATAACAAAGTTACATTGTTACTGAATAAGGAAGCATAAATACTACTTCAACAAATGATATTCCTGATAAAACTAACAAATAAAATTATATTATTAAAGCAAATATTCATGAATATACTACAATCTATGTTTTTCTTCTATTTTATTTTTCATATATGAAGAATAAATTCTTCTCTGATTATTTTAAGTCTACAGATTATAGTTAGCCACCACTGATTTATATACATTATAAAATTTAGAACTTAAAAAAATTTTGTCTGAAAAATGTATTTTTTTTTTCCTTTGCAATTATAATATAATTTCTTTATTTCATATGTACAGAACATATAAATAATAATTAAATGCAAATATTTGAGGCATGTACTTCTGGAAAGTATAGATACTTGTACAATTTACTATTACATTACTCATTATGAATTACAAAAAAAAAAGTGGTTATTATAAGTGATTTCAAATTAAAATATGGGTGATAGTTATTTTGCTTGTTTTAATTATCTGTTAAAAACTTGAATATTTGATGAAAGTATAAAGAAGTCTAACAGATATTTTTATATACTTAGCTGTAAATAATAAACACAATTATAAAAATACCATACTTGAGTTAATTTGTCTCATTTACTATTTATACACTCATAACACCAATCCAATAGTGCTAACATAAAATACATTTTCTAAACTAATTATGAAAAATATAAATACCAAATGATAAAATGTTTTGATTTGTATCAAAGAGATTCAGTATTACCATTCAGGATGGATTGTTTATTATTATTTTATATTATAACTATTACTTGTAATTTGAATATACTAATGGTTATATAAGATCTACTTTCCACTTTCCAAACAATGGTTGTTTAACTAATTTTTCATATCATTGATTACATTTCATAGTATTTTTGAAGAATGCATTGCTTGTCATTGCCCAAATGTAGTGTGATAAATCTGGAATTTAAATATTTGCTTTAACTTAATTTTATTTCTGCTAATATGCATCTTTAAGTCAACGACAAAAATTTAATATGTTTATTATTATAAGCAAAAAACGATTTCTTTGGTCAATTTGCAGTTTTTTTAATCGTGTTTAAAAAATTCAAAATGAATAATTTAAGTTTTAAACTTTGTGTGCATGTGTGTGTAAATGTATATATTGAACAACTGCATAATTTCGCCATAGTTTTTAGAATTGTGCACTAAAAATCTAAACTGCACATTAACTGAGCAGATA